GTTTGTGATTTGGGAGTGGAGGGTATGGACCATACTACTGCTGCCAAAGTGTGGGGAGGGAAGGTAGCCACTGTCGGTGGTTTCACGTTGATGCAAGTTTTGGCCATAATGACACTGAAATTAAGATGTTGTCACTGGCACTTTCAGCTGCCATTGGACCCATACAACAACCTGGGATCAAGCACAGAGCTTGCATCAAACAGGGAAGTAAAACCAATTCTGAAGGAAAAAGGTCTTTATGTATAAACTGTTCGTTGAGACTGCAATCTCACTAAAACCGTTTCTTCATGTTCAAGCATAAATTACACTGACATAATGTTGCCTCAAGCCTTCAAAAGACTGATTAACAAATAAGAAGGCAGTGATAGCTTAAAGAAAAAAAACTAAAACATGAGAAGTGTGATATGCTTGCTATTAAAGGACTGTTTAGATTATGTGTACTCAAGGTAAAGCTTATCTAGTTTAAGATTCTGCTCACAACAGAGAATGCTTAAGGAGTGTTTGCATAATAGTCAAGGCACCAGATAATAGACATTTCAGAGTCACAGACTTGCTAATTAAGGACATACATCCTCCTTCAGCATTGAGAAACTAGGAGGTGGCAAAAGAAACAGAGACCCTGGTGTCCTCAGATGACACATGACCGTAAAAGGAGAAAAGGAGTAGGGGTATTCTTCCCCAAATGACCACCAAAGACCCCCAAAGACCACCAGAGCCCCCGCAGAAGAGCAGGCATAAAAGACTCTGGGACGATTGCTCAAGAGAACAACACGTCGTGCTTGCTCCACATAATGAATATGCAATAGTTAGAATCATAGAATCATTTAGGTTGGAAAAGACCTTCAGATCATCAAGTCCAACCATCAACCATGCCCACTAAACCATGTTCTGGAGTACCTTGTCTATGCGCCTTTTGAATACCTCCAGGGATGGTGACTCAACCACTTCCCTGGGCAGCCTATTCCAATATCTGACAACTCTTTCAGTAAAGAAATTTTTCCTAATGTCCAACCTAAATCTCCCTTGCTGCAACTTGAGGCCATTTCCTCTCGTCCTATCACCAGCCACCTGACAGAAGAGACCAGCACCCACCTCACTACAATGCCCCTTCAGGTAGTTGTAGAGAGCCATAAGGTCTCCCCTCAGCCTCCTCTTCTCCAGACTAAACAGCCCCAGCTCCCTCAGCCGCTCCTCATAAGAAACCTGGTTAGGTGGAAGATATGTATTGGATAGGTGCAGTGTTTTAACTGCAG